GTCATATTGCATACACCTTAATAAGTCAAGAGGAACTTATAAGAGTAATCTCAGTTGAGTGCCGTACCAGCCTCCACAAGGGAGGTAACTCAAGCTCCACAAGGGAGAAAAAATAATAATAATGATGTCCTCCGACTCAAGGGAGGCATTCAAGTTATAATCACGGTGTCATGGGGGACCTTGCAAACCCTCACGTCCCGATGATTGCGCGCAAGTGGTACGAGCACTCGGGCCCATCAGTAAGAAAGATAAGATAATAAGATTCTGATAAGACATCATAATTAAGCATAATTGGCTCATGCATATTTATTCATGTGAACTTACAGTTATTTTGCGGGAGATAGTTCCTACTTGCTGAGCGAAAGCTCATTATAGAATGTTTATACTGTAGGTAAGCAACCGGCATATAATGCCTGATGGACTGCTGGTGAGTGGACGAACGATGTGGGGCTCGGGATATGGATACCACTCGCAAATATTTCCGCAATCAGCTTTATGTTACAAATAGTTTTGTTAATTATGATTATGAAACAGATATGTTAAGGTTTGAATATTTTAATTAAGAAAGCAATTTCGTATTTTATGTTTATAATAAGACCTTTTAAAAAAAAATGTTCCGTAAATTTTAAGAAATTTCAGTAAGTACAAGTTAAAAAGTTAGTTACAGTGGCGGCCTCAAAGTAGGGTCGCTACACCAAGTTTTTCTGAAATAACAAAAGTATAAACTAATAATTCATAAAAAAAAAACAAACAGAGCGTATATATAAGAACATAAAAAGAACATTTTTATGCACCCAGAATAAAAATGACAGTACAACACATCATAATCACATATCAAACACTGTTGGGCCGTATTACGTTTTGTAGACTGAAAGTCATTAGCTGCAAATCATGACACCATATTACGGTTGGGCGGAAAACCAAAGAATATATAATTCGTAGCCCACAAAACATGTTATGCCAAAATATTTTTTTTCATTAGTGTGCCATAATTGAAAAAAAAAAAAAAAAAAAAGCAACAAAACTAAAATTTTAAGTTCTAACTTTTTTTTTCCTTCTAAAAAAAAGTCAGAAATTAAAATTGGTAAAAACATCTTGTAAAGGAGTTGGGAAGCATCAGGTAAAGAATGGGATGGACGGCTAGAACTCTTTTCTAGCTTTTGGCACATGGGCCAAGTGATCAGATTACAAAGGGGCTGGATTTCTTTAATTGCTAAAATTTTTTGTTTTCTTCCCTGGATTACTTCAAGATTGATACTGCATATATTACTTGTGCGGTATCGATTGGTTTATAAATATATTGCTATCACGATTGTGATGGTTTTTTTTTCTCTGTATTTTTTTTTTCTTTTCATCAGTGCTAAAGCATATATAACACAAAAAGAAAGCAACTCTAATGCTTCGTTTATTTGACTCGTTCAAGTTAAGAATTTGAGTTAAGAAGTTAATTTATGTGAGAAAATAATATAACAGAACAAGTTAAATTAAAATTTTTGTAAGAGAAAATAATGTAATAAAAACTTAAGTTATAATTGAACTAACGAAATGAACGAGCCTAAACCTCGAAATAATATATATTATTAACTCATTGGTTGGCAATTGGATTACAAAAAGCGTAAGTGCGTAACTATACTTGTAATTGAGCTCCGGGTGATCACGAGTTAGCCATCAACCATAGTTTGCATTTAGAAATATAGAAATAGAAAGTATCCAATTGTTTTTCTGTGAATTAAATTAATAAAAAAAAAAAACAGGAGTTTAATTGATGGAAGAAAAATGATTGCGCCATGTATTGGCTCTTCAAAGATTTACTGTCCTTGGTGACATATCGAAAGGTCTGATCATAATACGTTAGCATCCATTCCCAAGACCTACGAGGCACATATCATATGTTTCATCTTTGAAAAGGAAAGAGAAAAAAAAAAAAAAAAAAAAGAAGAGGAAGAACAAGAAGAACAAGATCGAAAGGAAAAAGAAAAAATAGGTATAAATCATTTGTAGATAGTTCTCGCCATTTCTGAAAAGTTAATTATAAAACTCCTAATATTACGATTAGCAAAAAGAAAGTAAAATATTACTACAACTTAAAAAGCAATATATATATATATATATTTTTTTTTTCAAAGTGATTATAAAAATAACTAGTATACTTTTAAAACCAGAAGAATTCTTTCGTAAAAAAATGACGTTTTATGAGTACTGTTTTGCCAATTGACGTTTCGTTTTAGGGGCCAATGTTGAAATTAATTTGGTAAATATACGTCTATAAAATGGACTAAATATTCTCGGTTTTCAAAACTTGAGAAATTAATTTGCAGAGGAGCTTAGATAGAGTACTTATGGGTAAAACTGTAGGTCTAGAAAAGAGTATCATTACAATAATATTACTATTATTAATGTTTTGGTTTATATTGTTTTCTATTGCAGAAATTAATCAAGCAAAAAATGTGGAGTCTGCGCCTGCCTCTCCTAATAATTTGATTTATTCCTTAAAAGGCAGCGTTGATGAATTTTCCTGCTCGTAATCGTATTGCAAAAGAAAGAGGGCTTCTTAATCATAATGCTAAACCAAGGGAAACATGTCTGTGATCTGAAACCCAACGGAAACAGAAGAAATTAATAAAGGATTCCTTATGAAATACACTTTTCCTTATATATATGATCACAAAAAAATTTTCTTATTTGCATAAATTACAACAAATTAACACGCGCAAGCAACACAGGAATACATAACAAAGAAAAATATTAAAAGAAGAAAAAATAACACTACGTATGTGCCTGCAGAAATATTATTCTCACCGTACGTGGCGGCATAGATAAGGTCAAAATTTTTTTAATTAAAGTCATTCAAAAAGAAAATTATCTAATCAAAGCAAAAGATGAAATATCATTCTAGCAAAAAAGAATGAAACGGCTTTTAGAATTCAGAGAATCAATAAGTAGAGTCACACTCAAACCAGAGATAATTTCAACTGTAATAGCCAGCAAACTCAATAGCAATTATGACATTTAATTAGTTCAGCTTCAAAATCATAAAGATTACTAAGAGGCCAAGCAAACCAACCTTTGCAAAACCACTTTGACCGAATTTAATCACAGAGATACCACTTTTGAAAACGCCCATGATGCCCTTAAAACAGTAAACTACAATTTCAGCAACCAAAATATGCCTAAATAATTATTTAATCCCTTAAAACATTTTACCTATATATTCTCAGGGTATTCGTTTTTGGTAATCATTTTTTAATTGTTTACTCTACTATCTATAACATAATCTTTTCGAGAATTTCATTTGCTTTTTTCTAAAAGTATATATATATATATATATACACATATACATATAATCAAATCTAAATATATTTCATGCGTAGAAGATGATTTTAGTTGTAACGCCCCCGATGTTAAATCGGTCTAAGACTAAATTTAACGAGGTGATGCTACTTAAAATATACTTTATATACTTAAAACAATGTCATTTTCAAGATTTGAAAAATTGTAGTTAAAGTCATCACAAAATTTTTGTAAAAATTACAATTTTTGAACAAAATGAGTCATCGGCTTCATCACAGTTCTTCTTTATTTCTCTTAAATTAAGAGTCTTAATAAAGAAGCAAGCCCATCTGCTGATGTTGGACAGTGAGAAGAAAAGAGGAGAGAAGAGAAAGAAGAAGAAAGAGAAATGATTTAGCGCAGAAAAAAAAAACGAAAAAAAAAAAAGAATAGAAAAGTAAGCCAACAAAATAACGGTTACTACCCAATTTTCACTCATATGGAATTTCATGAAATAATTTTGGGACAATTATTAAACTAAATCTTAAGAAATAAAACTTAATTCTACTTTCTATTTTTATTCTTATTCCTCGTCACCTTCACAAGTATTATCCTCTCTATAAACATGGAAACAGAGTAAAATTGTAAGAAATATCTGTGGATAAACAACATTACTCTGTAAGTCCTCATGGTACTATAAGGAGTTCGTTCACAGGAGAGAAATAGCGTATATACAGGAAGTGGGAGATCATAGAAATTTATATGAATTTCACAAAGAAAAATAAAAATAAAAATAAAAAAGCATCTGTTATATCAGTATCTGGTTGGTTTATTATACATTAATTTACTCTGTTTACAAATGTTAGGTTCATCTTGGTACATATGAAGATTGGAGCTTCGTTGTTGGTTAATAGTAGCATTGAGAATTTATCAATTGGTACAATCGCGCTTTTCTTTGATAATGTAGAGATTTATAACTTTTATCTTACAAGCAGAAAAGCCCTAGAAAGATAATCTGTTAAAACATCCATATAAGGTCATTTAAAAAATAAAAAAAGGTTTTAGCCCATGTGTAATTGCAATCTAATCTCACCCTAAAATAGACTATTTTCGATTCCAAAGTTGTTTTACGTGGAGGGGAAGAGAAATTGCATCAAAATACCTTTGTCAAAACCAATATCTAAGCTAATCCTGAAGCTCACCTGCAAATACTTTACCACCATCCTAATGCTTCCAAACATGATGATTCTTTACATTTGAGACCTAACATAAGTAGTCTCCAAGATGAAGTACACATACAAATTTACAGCAACCAAGACCAAAAACATGAAAATACAGATAACTATTAATCAGTTAAAGTTTGATCCTCGTACAGTTGGATATCATACACTTATTTCAACAACAGCTTATTTCAACTAGATATCGGTTCTGGGGTTGTTCTTTCTCCAGTCCCATGGCTTCTCTGGATTTGGTGAAGCCCACAATCCCACTCTTTTTGCTCGAGCCTCTTTTTCCCACTACATCGAAAAAGTAAATAAACTAAACCTATCAGTATTCCAATTATTAAAGTAAATAAACACCAGAAAGAGAATCAATGAGCGCTTCTTATTTCTCTCCCTTCCTTTCTAAACCATTTTCTCTACCCATTACACTACACTACAGTTTGGTAAACATGATCTGAAAGTAAATGAATTAAGGATTATCCATGTTTGTACGAACCCTTGCGAATTGAGGGCGTTTATCATAGTGTACATAGTGCCATGCACACCCTTTCTTGAGCAATACTTCCTGGTTTGCAATGAAAACAAATAGAATGATCTGCACTGTTAACATGCTAATCAAAAAATAAAATCAGTAGTATCGTTAGAACACATTTTCCTAAGCACCTGAACAAAAGTCCCATTGCAATAAATATCACCAACAGAACGGCCGTACTGATCTTCGCCATAGACAAGGATTCTCAAGCACTTTCCCTGCACAAGATTTGTGAGTTCCTCCTTGGCTTCATCCCCATAAGGCATTTTGTTTTCTGGTGCATCTATTCCCCTGCAACGTCCCTTAGCACTTGTTTGTTAACACCATTTCTCTAGTGTAAAACTCAGCTCATCAATAGATATGATATCTGTAGTGTATCATTTTGCGTACCTCAGTCTAATTCTATACTTTCGAGCAAGAATCTCCTCATCCTGAATCTTTAATACCCTGATCATAATGAGACAGAACCTTTCACTACATATGCTTTGCAATTCGAGTGTAATTTCAGCAAGAATTGAGTTATTAATGGCATGTTTGGTTCACAGGTTTTGAATAAAAATTCAAATTTCTGTGACGAAAAGTGCTGTAGCAAAGAGATTTAAATTTTCGTTCAAACAGCAAACCAAACGAATACTAAGAAACTAAGACGTTCAACCTGTAACCAGCACTGATAATTTTCTCATGAAGTGCATCCGCCTTATCATATTTCTTCTTGGTACGCGCGCTCAATCTTTTAACTGCGGCTAAACTCACTTGTGGGGGAACATTCAATGACTCCCGGGGATCTGCCGTGCTGACATATACTATAACCGAGTCCCCATCTTGAACACAATTTGCTTTAACCTGTAAAGGTTCATTTTTGTAATTACAATTTTGAAAATGTCATTCATCACTACCACATTGACAATGTAAGACACAATCAAATCCCGATCAGACAGTTTGTCACACTACATGAAAATCATTTTATGTTGGCAACAAACGAAGAAAAATTATAAGAAATCTCAGTTGATGAACAACATTATTCTATAAAAACTTGTGGTATAAGGAGTTCATTTATAGAAGAATTAGTATTGTATTTACCGGTAGCGTCTGAAATTCAAAATTTACTCCTTCTGGCCATGTAGTAGGGAGCTCGGAGGAAAGTTCCACAAGAGTATCAGGAAGTGGGAGACCATAGAAACCCAATAAGCCCTATTAATAAAAATTTCACCCAAAAAAAAATCTATTAATTGATAATCTAATTCCATTATATATAGTTCAATTTGGAATTAACCGGTCACAGATCGAAATATTTGTTAATAGTTAACCTCAATATCCCCCTTTTGGATCCTGTTCAAGGTTTCGATCACGAGCCGAGCTGCTTCTTCAGTTGTTTTTGGAGGTGGTTTTGCTCCTCTCCATGCCTCTAGAAGTCTTCTATACCTTCATATACGCATTTATATGTGTTGTGAAATTAAATAAGCCATGGAGATAATTACTAAATTAAGAGATAAATTAGACAAATTTAGAATTACCAGTTAGCTTGGGCCTTCTTGGAAGAAATAACATGCTTATTAAGTCCTTCTGGAACCTGAAATCACCAAACACAAAACAAAAAAGACAGTTATTTTAGTATTTTAATAATCAATATATGCAATTTTCCGATGTGATATTTTTAAGGTGATCTTTCCCTTTTCTTTTACTTCCAATATTTTTTTTCCCCTCCCCTCATAAGCTTTATCCACCAAAAAAGGAAGTGAGAAATGAGGGTAAGAAAAAAAAAAAAAAAAAACTGCATTAGGTCTCAATAGCCCGCCAACAATGATCAACTCCCAAACATCAGAACAAATAAAAAAACATAAATCCGCCTCTGTTTTAGATGATTATATATATATATATATATATAATGGGAAAGGAATCGATGTATATATAGAGGGAGGGAGAAATAGAAACCTGAGAGGTGATATCAAAGTGAAAGAGATCATGGGCAAGAGCGGAGACGCCAAGAGGAGCGACTGCGAGTGATGGATGAGGAGAAGGACTCTCTGCACTCTCACTTCTGCAGCACAAGAACCTCAGCAGGGCATTTCCCATTCTTTTCTATTCTTTTAAAAAAAAAAAAAAAAAAAAAACTCTTCTCTCTTTCCTCAAGCTAAAGCTTCAGGTGGGTGAGGAAGATAGAGAGAGAATGCTTACTGTTGCTGGCAAAAATCCAATGCAAACAAAGAGTAAAGAGAGACCCAGAAGAGAGAGGAGTCAAAACTCTTTCCACTGTACGGAAATGGGCCAATGAAAGTTTAGATTCTTTTTTGTTCCGTATGCTTGTCTTCTTTATAAGTTTTTTTTTTTTCCTCGCTTTGAATATTATTATTTTTTTGGGAGCTTTTCTAGTGTGATATGAAATAATTAGCTACTTGTAAATATTTCAGATTTAAATAAAAAATTATCTTTTTTATATATTTTTTAATTTAATGTAATTTGATTTAATCTAACAGTTAAAATCTAACCTAGTAGAGCTAGAAATTCTCTTCTTTTTTTTTTAATTGAGCTTTTCAATATTATTGTGAAATAAACCAAAAAATACCATCTATAAATAATCTTTGAACTTTTTTCTCTCTCTAAAATTAGCATGTAGTCAGTTTTGTCTTTGTAAATAATCTTTAAATTTAATAACTCCATTCATTTTATCGAGTTTTGTTACAGTAAAAAGCTCTCAGAAACAGTCACATCTAACTTTTTTACTACAGTAAAAAGCTCTCACATAAAATCACATCTCAACTCAAATTAAAAACTCGAATCAACGAACTAAACGGAGCCTAAGTGTCTCATAAATTATCATTCTACTAAATTTTGAATGGAAAGTAGGGTTGTGCACCATTTATCTTGAACTACTGATCCAGTTTTACGTCATCACGTTAATAAATGGTTTAAAACTGCACGAGACCATTTCCTTGACGGGCTTGTTCGGTTTGTAATTTTATCTAACAATCCAGACCGAACCGGACCATTAAGGATATACATATTTAAAAAAAATAAAAAAAAATCTTGTTATGTATATTTAGACTTTAAATAACTGTAACATTATTAGTTATGGGCTTTTACGTTGGATTGCAAGTTGTTAGACTTTTACTTTGGATTGTATGTTGTTTTTATTTGTTGCCTTTTATTTTGGATGAATATAATATTATTAGTTATTGACTTTCTTTTGCATTAGATTGCATGTTTTTGTTGTTAACTTTTGGATGACTGTAATATTATTGGATAATAGTTATGGACTTTTGCTTTTGACTACATATTATTGTTGTTTGCAACTTTTAGAATGTTAATTTTTAGAAGATATGTATTATGTGACATATGATTTTGTTAATTAAAAACAAACAAACACACACACTAGCGGTCTAAACATCGGTTTAACCGCACCAGACCATTTACTAATAGACCGTTCTAGTCCACTCCCATCTTATAAACAATCTAGTCTGATCTGGATTTTTTGAAACCGGTAAAAATGGCTTGTTCTGCAAACTTAAGGGTTTGGGACTGAACCAACTGACCGTGAACCGCCTTAATAAAAACCATTAACTTTGTCTCAAAAAAGTCATTGAATTATCTTCTCTCTTTAAAAATAGTCCCATATTAAAGATTGTACTAAATTTAATCTCTAAACTAAAAAAAAAAGTGACAAAATAGTTGCTTTGTTAATAAATAGATGTAACATATATTAAATATGAGAATTTGTATCAATAATAGTCTCTAAACTAAAATAAAAAAAGTGTGATTATTTAACACCAATTAAATTTCTAAGTAACCTAGCACAAAATAATGGATGCGTTTGGAATTGGTTTTAAAATAATTTTGTTTTCAATAAAAAGTAAAAATGAGATTGTTTTGAGAATCATTCTGGGATCGATTTTGAAATTGCGTTTGATTGGTTTTTGAAGAGATTATTTTGAGTATAATAAAAAAATGAAATCGTGTTTATTAATTAATATATTATAATATTGTTGATAAGTATTAAAAAATGAAAACAAGAAAGTGAAAATAACTTTCGATTGTTTTCTAATTCTTTTACAAAAATCACTCTCATTGTTTTCGTTTTCAAAACATTTGCTTCATTTTGTTTTTATTTTCATTTTTTGCTTCTTGAAATACGTGAAAACTGTTTTTAAAAACGGTTCCAAACATGTGAAATATTTTTTTTATTTTTTGTTATAGTAAAACAATGTCATAAAATAATCATGGGATACCTGGTTGTATTGTAGATTGTGATTCGCAGTTAATTGCTTGTATTCTTTTGTTGGCGACTTAGCGTTGAATGATTTCAACGAAAGGGCAAAATATATATGAGTATTACCTTCTTGGTTGAGTTTTGAATATGCTAGGTTTTAACGTTTTGTTTTGTTTTGGATAAAATTTTTTCGTAATTTTACTTTTCACAATTAATGTTTTCTATATATTTATTCAAAAAAAATTAATTTTGACATTTTTTAGTTTATGAATTAAATTTAATACAACTTTTAATTAGGGACTATTTATAAAGAGAAGATAATTTAGGGACTTTTAATAACGTGAAGTTAACGATTTTCATTTAAAATTTAACAGATGGATTATTTATGAGACATTTTTTGAGTTTATGAAGTACTTATAAGATAAATTTGACTATAAAAACTAATTCTAGGGAGAGAGAAAAGTTCAAGTAGATATACAAGTGATGATAAATATGATCATGGATCTAGTACAAGTAGTCCAAAAGACTTTGTAGATATTCTCTTCCAACTTCAGCGGGATCAAAGCATGGTTAAAGGTTAAATTTTTTTTTAAAAAAAAAAAAAAAAAAAAAAAAGGGATTCAAATCAAAGCTATTATAGAGGTGTCTCTCTCTTGATTTAGTAATTTACCAGAGATCAGATGTCAAGCTCTTCTAGTTAGTTTACTTACAGCAGCTAAAATTATAACAAATAATCCACAAGATTTTCAATTGGGAATGAGAGCATGCATTCAATATTCAAATAAAAATTACCAGCAGATTATGTAGTAGTCATGGGAAACAATGGAGAAAATTCCCTTTTCATTCGGAAGAGTATGATTGTTTTGTGCACCAGTACTGTTGATTTACAACTTTTTAACTCTTTTTTCTTTTTCCCCTTCTTTTGTGGGGGAGGAGGACTATCTATAAGGCCTACTATTAGCCTTACGGTTAAAATTACTCTTATCTCTACCTGAATGCATCCAAAAATTTTTGCCTGTTTCCATCGAATGAAGCTGTGGGAAATGAAGTAAACAGGTGAGAGGGATAAAGAAGGATAGGATTAATTGCCTGCACCATAATTGGTATTAACAAAGGTATAACTAATCCTAAAGTGATCAGAATAACAACAACAATTAGACCCATTGTTGTGGTTTGCTTTCTCAAAGAACTTGTGTTGTCTTGAAAAATGAGTATTAAGCTATGTTCTGTATAAAGCTTTGACGTTGTTTTTATTGTCTCGTATACATAAAATCATATTTATACACCCTAAATTAGATTTAAATATAATTTGTTGTGGTGCCCTTTTATGGAATTACAAAGACATGGTCCGTGTCTAAACATTTCTAGATTTATAATTATATTAGCTTTTGAATAAAAAATAAAAAATAAAAATCTTTGTCCAACTTATAATGTCATGCCAGTGTTCGATGGGGTGTTTGGTAATGTAGAGTAATTTAGTAAAATTAGTTAATGTATTCATTGTATAAATTTGACATGAAAAATTAGTTAATGTATTCATTGTATAAATTTGAACCAAAAAACGTATACATGTCTCTTAAATGTTTCCAAAGATACATGCATATGCAAACGTTCTAAAATGTTATAATTACGTCGGTTTTTGAATTAGGGAATGAAAATCCTTACAACAACATGTCAATTTTACTTTTTCTAAATGGAGGGAGGGCTGATATAGTCCCGATCCCCTCTAATTTATTTTTAAAAAAAAAGAAAAAGAAAATGAATAAAGAAAATGAGGTAACTCAAAATCCAGCCACAAAGATCAAACCCAAAAACCCAAAAAGAAAAAAAAAAAAAAAAAAAAAAAAAACCAAGAAACAAGAAATTTCACCCCTCCAATAATGTTTCCCAAGAACCTGAAGTAGTTATAATTTGAGAAAATGAGACAAATATCTATTAGAATATATGAGTCTTGGACATTTACTTCTTACACTTTATTAATATTTTTTAACAAAAAACTATATTAGTTAAAAAAATATTAATTAAGAACAAAAGGGTAAAAATCTGAGATCAATGCAAGGATGAGTTAAACAATTTTCTCCTACAATTTCCATCTTTTTCAGAGCAAGGTAGCGATTGTTGATTGATAGGGCATTGTCTATATATCCTCTACGTCTCTGTCTTTCGGTTGATGAGCTTAAGTATTTGCTTCAGTACACAGATATAGAGAGAGATATATATATATATATATATATATATCGTTTTGCGAACAACTTTGAAGCCCAGGCAGGCCAGTGTACCAAGTGTATACCTTCTGATGACAAGTCATAGTTTACTTTCACTATTAGTTTTTTCCTTGTTAACTAGAGTCTTTTACTATCATTGTTATTCTTGTTGTTCTAATGTTGTTATTATTGTTGTATCTCTTTCGAATCGCTCGTTCTAGGGAGCATGATTGGATTGATGGTCATTATGAAATCACACAACTAGGGGGGAATACAGTATGTTTGTATGATGATTACAACGTTTATTAGGATCTTGACTTGACACATAAATCATAATATTATAAAGAAAACGACAAACCCCAGTCAGTAGCTAGTCACTACCCTTTTATCTACTTGTACACAGTATTAGTATATACTCTAACCAGAGCCTTTACGGATGTAAGTCCGTGCATATATCTGAACTAGTTAATCAGGATTAGCTCACTCATTTCTTGATTATCTTGACAGTTTTCCTTTTCTTCCTCTCATTTGTGTACTAAAATATAAAGATTTTAGTAAAAAGATTAAACCTGATGAGGCCGACTTGAAAATTGATCACTTTGTGCAATTTACCTTTTTTTTTTTCCTCTCTCTCCTTAATTTGCAAGCAGCTTGACTCCAACATATTGAACATATGCTGTTCCTTCTTTTCGTTTAAAGAAAAGAAAAAGAATAATAAAACACGTGTTCTTTAATATATTTCTATTTAAACCTTCCAACTTAGAAAGGAATATTGGTTTTCATCAAAAAGAAAGGAATCTGGTTATACCGGAATTCCTTCCTCTTTTTTTTTTTTGTTTTCTTTTCGCAAAAGATATTCTCTTTTATGTCATGCATAAAAGCAACAAGAACATTATATTAGAAACAAAATACACTAATTAAGAGGTCAGAAATAAAATCATCTAGTGTGCATGAGCAGACTGCACAGCAAAAGAAAAGAAAACAACTAATAAATTAAAAGAGTTGACATGGTAATTGACCCTATTCCCTCCACAATCAAGAGGGCATGGAGTGACTGGAACCTCCAGTTCTATATGCTCTTGAGCCTTTCGCTACAAACTTTTTTAATCCTTTTCGCACCATTGAGGCCCCGAACTGCCAATGTATGGCTCATCTCACTCATATGGTCCGCTTACTTGCTCGCTGATGCGGCTGCTCTTTACGCGATCGGGCAAATATCACGAAGCACGGAAGCTGCAGCTGAGACCACCATTAACAGCGACCTCTTGGTATTTTGGGCTCCTTTTCTTCTGCTACACTTGGGTGGTCCCGACACCATAACTGCCTTCTCTCTCGAGGATAACGCACTCTGGCTGCGTCACTTGTTCAACCTCATAACCCAAGTTGTCCCGGTTGTTTATGTCTTCGTTCAATCAATTCCGTCGAACAAGCTTTTAACCACAACAATTCCCATGTTGCTTGCCGGCACCATCAAGTATGCAGAGAGGACAAGGGCCTTGTATCTTGCGAGCTTTGACACATTTCAAAAGTCCATGACAGGGGAAGCAGATCCTGGAAAAGACTACGTGGCGTTTATGGAAGACTTTGCTGCTAGGCAACAGGATGCAAAAGCTCCACGCTTTGTGCATTTAACAGAGCCCCCATTGTATCTCCCAACCTCCGAGGAAGGCGGTGTAGATAACATTTCGGCGGTGAAGCATGCCCATCGCTTTTTTGAAGTATTCAAAGGTGCTCTCGTGGATCGAGTATTCAGCGCTTCTGAGCGCGCGGAGAGCCAAGAGTTCTTCTACAGGAAAAACTCGGAAGTTGCAATGAGAGTAATCTCTATTGAACTCAACTTCATGTACCAAGTTCTCTATACCAAGGTGGTTGTGGTGCGTTCTAAGCTCGGCTACATCTCCCGATTTATATCCTTCTCAGCAATTGTCATAGCCCTTCTCCTTTTCAATTCGTCGGAGAAGCATATGAGCTTGCACCCTGTTGACGCTGGGATTACCTACTCCTTGCTCTACGGCGCAATATCTCTGGAAGCTATAGCTTTCTTAATGCTCTTTTTCTCTGATTTAACCGCTGTTGCTCTCCTGAGCGAGAAAGGAAAATTCAGTTCAACCATGGCCTGTGTCTTAGACAAGTACCTCAACCTCAGGAGACCCAACCTGTCAAGTACAGAGGAGATGAACTCGTCGAATTTGTTGGATTGGACGAGACGGATCCTCTTCCAAAGGTGGTCCGAATCTGTCTCTTGCTACAACTTAATACATTATTGCCTCAAGGAAAGCCCCAAATTGAATCCCAACATGCTTGATTATTGCGGCATTATTTACGCCAAAGTCATCAATGTTTTGGGCCTCAAGGATTTTCAAGACCAGCTGAAATATGTTTCATGCAAGCCACTCAGTGGAAATTTATGGGATTTCATCTTCAAAAGGCTCAAGTATCCAGACGGTAATGAGAATCGTCTTATTCCAATTGCCGGTAACTTTGGGGGGCGGCAGAATAGTGGTGATTGGAAGAATCATTGCAATAGGGCAGTGGATTATGTGCGTGATGTAGATGGTTATGATCAGACCCTTCTATTGTGGCATATTGCTACTGAAATCTGCTACAATACTGACGATGATCATGAGGCCAATATTACTACTGATCAGAAGAAAAGACGCGAGTTTAGCAAGGTCATGTCGGATTATATGTTGTATCTTTTAGCAATGCAACCAACGTTGATGTCTCCTATAGCAGGAATTGCACGTAAAAGAGTCCAAGATACCTGTGCCGAGGCCGAGAGATTCTTCAGCCAAAAGGGCTTGGGACCGGGATCAACACAGGAACAGGCCTGTAGGACGATCCTACAGGTAGATACGGGATTTAGCCCAGTTATGGTAAGGGGAGACTCATGCAAATCTGTTTTATTTGATGCTTGTATTTTGGCCAAGCAGCTAAAAGAGGAGTTGAAAGAAAACAAGTGGGATCTCATCAATCATGTCTGGGTAGAACTGCTTGCATATGCTGGAGGTCATTGTGGACCAAAGAATCATGCACAACTACTAAGTAGAGGTGGAGAGCTCATTTCTTATGTTTGGTTGCTAATGGTTCATTTTGGCCAACTGGGGCACTTCCAAACAAGACGTGGCGACAGAATTGAAGTCTAGTAATTGCAGTTATCCTTCTGTCATAATTATGTTTGGTTTTTTTTTTTTTTTTTTTTTTTTCAATTTAATATTGGTCTATATTCCTGTTTCTCCACTTGTGTTTGGAATTGGGGGGTGAGGATTATATCTTTACTAGCTAAATCACAGTTTGATTGGAATCCATGCATGATAAAAACCAACTTGTACTGCTCCTGTTCTACTTGTTACTTTTATCAAACTAATAAATCATGTCAAAATACTCCGTTAACATGTCATTATTTTGTAGATCACGTCAATCATATCTAACTGAAACAAATTTCTACTATGCAATCAAATAGGATAAAGGAGGGGAAATCTGATGTACTCCGAAGATAGATCACAAACAAACTTAGTGTGATCCGAGGTATTTATGTATAAATTTTCACCTTCTGCACATTAGCCACCAATCCATACATTTTCCTCTTTGCAACATTTTTCCTCTTCATATATTGTGGACCCCTCCTTTCTTTGAAATAAGATAGCAATCCGCGGGTTAAATAGTCAAGGCACAACCTTAGAACAGCGCAATCTTGGACTAGAGAAATTTCACTGATTCAGATATACTTAGCAATATAGCATCACATTGTTAGTACATAACAAGTGTAACCGCAAAAAGTGTGAGAGAAATACATTTTTAAAAATCAATTTACCATGCAGGGTCTTCTTAGAGGAATAAAAGTCGAAAATGAAAAACAATAATAATAATATTAATACGGAACATTTTTGTACGTTCTTTACTTCCAGAGGGTCTAGCATCTCAAAAATGGAGAGAGAGAGAGAGAGAGAGAACGATCCAGAGGGAGAGGGCTTGTGTGAGCAGACAGAAAGCACATAAGAATAAAGAAAAATGAAATAATATTTTAAAAAGAATGGTAAATTTGGAAAACAAAAACTGTAAAAAAAAAAAGTGACTTATTTACTATAATGATTTAACCCCACAAAAGAGACTTGCACTTTGACATATATGATTTAACCCCACAAAAGAGACTTGCACTTACTAGTTCAGCAGTCAATAAGCCCATTTTTAAACCCATTAATGTGTTGTCTCACACTGGAGAGCACAATGTGTGTGAGATAACACATTTTCCAGCAATTAATATTTAATAATGCGCACACCACTAGGATAATGAGAGAACATTAAAAACTAATAAAAAAATATCCCATTTTAAAAGCCCGTTTAGTTCGCTGATTCGAGTTTATAATTCGAGTTGAGATGTGATTTTATGTGAGAGCTTTTTACTGTAATAAAAAAGTTAGATGTGACTGTTTATGAGAACTTTTTACTGTAACAAAACTCAAATTCTAAACTCGAATCGGTGAAGTGAACGGAGCCTAAGTTTTTGCTGATCAGATGGGAGTCGGATGGAATAAATTATGCCTTCTGGATAACACTAAACTGAACCCACCACATACAAACATAAATACAAATATATTATATCACACCATTTTGTTCTTTTGCTACTTAAAAAAAAAGATATGTGCACTTTATATCCTTAGCCCCTTAGGCTATAAAAATAATCCCGGGAACCACTGAATATATAAAAATGGTCTGAAATAATCTCTCATTAGCTATCTGGTCAGTTTTCAATCCCCTTCTCCGCGGAAGCCCACTTAATTTCTCATAAGAGATAAGGTAGTAATGCGCGGGTGCGGAGTATCGAATTCTGAGAAAATGAATAAAAGAAACCTAATAAAAGTGTCTTACCAGTAACGCCCCTCCCGAGCTAGCAACTAAGAACTACGCCAACTTGAGAGAAACGTTAACTTACTTTGCTATATTACTGCTTAAATAGAGAAATAATCTCTATATCAAATACAATCATAGAACAAATTCTTAATTTTACAAATTATATAACTTAAGATCTCTTAACTTAAACTCGTCATGGGACTTGAACCGCTAACTCGTCATGGGACTTGAACCGCCATTACTCAATCAACTAGAACTTCTACCGAGAGCTTACCTGCATCATGAGAACTATATGAGCTAAAGCTCAGTAAATAAACCGTAAAATAATTTCCACTTTGAAAATACTTTTCTTTAAACTTTTAGGGCCCTTGTGTCTGACATTCATCTTGTATTATTAGAACCTCTTTATCTTCTATCTGGTGACCTCTGTCTCGAAATCTCTTGTTCCTCAAGGATTTGGCCCTTTTACTTACTGAGTCGGTTCGTAATTAACACAAGATTCATATCATATTCTGAAAACTAAAACACTTTCTAAATCTCATGAAAACATATCAAATATATATAAATTGACAACAAACTGAAAACTTTCATGTACTACTGTTCATGTGATGTAGTGAAAAATCTACTTACAAATTTACTGGTAGAGAGGAAAATCCTTCTCTCAGTTTTCTCTCTCTTTCTTTATGTCTTTCTATTTTCTCTTTCTCTCTATCTCACCCTTACTTTCTCTCGCTAGCCTCCTCCATATGAAGGATGGAATGAATCCATCACCTATTTATAGTATGCCATCTTACATTCTAGCCCAGGGATCAAAGCTTATATGGATAGATTATAACACCCTGAAAAATTAATTGAGATTAATTAAGGTAATTGAGATTATTAGTGTGCCTAATCTGATTTAATTAATTGAGTTTGATTAATAAATGTTTCTGACGTGTAATTTAAATAGTTCAAAGGTATTTAAATTATTCTCAGTAATTTATTTTTAACCTAGAAGTGTGTATGAGCGCATTTCTGAACTGTTGTTTTAAAATATTGTACACATGTCTTTTTCTTTTTCTTTTCTTTCTTCCCTTTTCTCTTTCCTCTCCCGTGCACTCTCTCTCTTTCTTCACTCTCACTCTCTCGCTCTCTCTCTTTCTCTCTCACTCTCGTTTTTGTTCCAAATCAAACGGATCTTGAACCAAAGAAGAGTTTCAAAGCGTTTTCAACGTCAAGAGAAGAATTCGAGATAAGATTACTGAAAGAACCTCTCTTGAATCTCAAGTTTTTGAATTTCAAAACTTATTTTTGGTTCAAATCGGATTTTGATGGTTTTTAAGTAAAACTAGAGTAGAAATTGGAGATCTTGGGTTCTTTGGACTTGTTTTAGGACCTAGAACCCGTATCTAGTGGTTTTCCTTTGAAATATTTGGATTTGGGACTGGATTTGCAGGTTTTCAGACTGGTTTCCGTGAGCTTCTCTCGTGCAGCTGATTCCACCGGTCGACCGGATCACATGGAAACCGGTCGACCGGATTGCAGGCTGACCAGTCGATCGGTGTGCACACTACCGGTCGACCGGTAGTGTTGCACTGCTCTGTCACCGGTCGACCGGTGCACACGGGTTTGACCCTGTTTGGCCTGAAAATGCTGTTTTGACCTATGTTTTCAGGGAGAACCCAAATTAGCTTTATTTGGGGACTTGGGATAAATGGATTAGCATCTTTAATCCTTGATTTAATATTGAAAAACCCTTGGAATGATAATTGAAACATGAAAATGGATTAGGGCACACTAATTGAAAATCTTGGTACATAAGTGAGATTGGATTGCTTTAGGAATGAGAATTGATCCTAAAGTGTTGTCTTGCATCAGTGATCGCTGAGGATTCAGACTGAAGGAGCTTGAGGAAGCGGAAGCCGGAAAATGCAACGCTAGTCCCAGGTTTGATCGTGCGAGGTAGGATTTCTATCCCTTTTCCTTGTGAGCCTGTTTTCAAAAAGGATTTTGGCCTTGAAAATGTTTTAAAGAAAGGGATTGGTTTGCGAAAGAAAACTCTTTAAAAACCATGGCTTGTTTAGTTTATGGAGATCCATGGCTTGTCCTGTCCATGGAATCCATAGCTTGTCCAGTCATGGAACCTCATAGCTTGCCCAGTCATGGGGCCCGCGGCTAGAGTAGTTCGTGGGGGCATATTAACGATTTCATAATGTTAAATGAATGATTTCTTAAGATAAGAGATCTTGTGAACCGGTAAGAAAGTCTATTGCTGTAAGCCTAGATAGGATGTTGAGAGTGCATCATCGGGGGCAGAACCCGAAACTCGGTCCGGGTAGGCAAAGCACTTGGTTAGGTAAGTAATTTGTACTAATTACTTGCTAAAGCATGTAATACGGTTATTTTCAGTTATATTTCCTTTGAGAAAAAGGATGTGAGGTTCCGGCTGCCTGTTGGAACTGAATGTCTTATTTTATTTACTTATTCATTTATTTATTCATTACTCATTTATTATTCATTTACTTTTTAAGTCATTTCAAATTATATCCTACTAGGCCTTTCGCTCACGTTTTATGTTTTAAATGTGTTAAACCCCTCCTAGGAGGTTCTAGGAGCGGTGCAGAGTAGCTGAATATTGCTACTGTTTGATCAAGTAAGGATTGAGCTTATCTTCTTGAACAAATGTAAGGAATTTGAGAAATTCTGTAAACTTATGTAATATTTAGATTTACTAGACTGTGGTCGATGTCTGTTGTAATGATTATTTACATGAGCATGTATGTACGATACTGTATGTCCTGTGGGGTGGAGCCCTGTGTGTCAGAGGCTCCGGGATTCTGTAATTTATTTATATTTTAATGAAGTCAAGTGTGGGGCCCGATTGGGAATCTGCTTTATTAATTCTTAATCGAGCTCCACGTCACCCACCCCATTTGGGGGGGCGTGACATAGATCTTAGCCATTGATTCCACATCTAATATCTACCATTAGATCACAAGTGTTTGGCTAAATCTTGGCCATTGATCAAATTTCAAGTGTCCATCTACTTGACAAGTGTCTTTTAAAAGACAATTTGAACTTTTCTTCTTTCCTTATCTCGATAAGTGTCCACTTAGAAAAAAATTTAAACTTTTTTTCTTTCCTTATCTTGACACGAGCCCACTTAGAAGAAAATTTAAACTTTTCTTCTTTCCTTATCTCAACACATGTCCACTTACATGTGAATTCTTCTGCATCTATATGTTATCTGATAAGGCGGGTGTTTCATTACCACTGCACCACGACTCTCGGTGATTATATAACACCATTTTGTGTTCATTAGCTGATAATGCAATCTGTGAAGAAACTTAACTTGATATTATGGAGAGGAGTGTAAAGTTAAGCTTGATTTGTCACTTTGTTTTGCTTTTATTTCTTGCTTCTGCAAAACATTGTTCTGGTAATCATAATGATCTTATGAACGGTGTGAGATGCATAGGAACTGAGAGAGAGGCACTCGTTTCTTTCAAGAACAGCTTGACTGATCCTTCAGGAAGACTCTCTTCATGGGTTGGTGAAGAATGCTGCAAATGGGAAGGAATTGGGTGCGACAATCTAAATGGACATGTCACAAACCTCAACCTCAGAAATGCTTTCCACTTGGTTGATGCTGATGATGATCATGATCCAACCGCTTCCTACAAAAGGTCTTGCTTAGGTGGTAAGATAAACTCTTCTTTGGCCACCCTGAAATACTTGAGTTATTTGGATCTAAGCATGAATAATTTCGAAGGAATCCCAATTCCCGGTTTGCTCGGTGACATGTCGAATTTGAGGTATCTCAATCTTTCTTTTGCATCATTTTCTGGAGTTGTACCATCTAATCTCGGAAAATTGTCAAAACTGCAGTATATTGACCTCTATGCAGATTCCTATCTTGGTATATCCATTGGGGAATTGAGAGCTGAGAGCTTGGATTGGCTTTCAGGTCTCTCTTCACTCACACATCTTAACTTGGGATTTGTGAAACTCAATGGGGTTGGAGAAAATTGGCTTGAAAAGGTCAATTTGCTTCCTTCATTAGTGGAGTTGAATTTACATTGGTGTGAACTTCAGGGCTTACCACTTTCACTTCCCTTCATTAACTTCACATCACTTTCTGTCCTTGATCTGTCAGAAAATTCGTTCAATTCTCTGATCCCAAGCTGGTTGTTCAATCTCACTAGTCTTAGGATACTTCATCTGACTTGGAACTTCTTCCAGGGTCAAATTCCTAATGACATAACAAATTTGAAACTCTTGGAAGTCCTTGATTTGTCTGATAATTTGTCTCTTGAAGGTCATATTCCAGGACTTCTTGGAAACCTTACCAACCTGAAGCGTTTAGATCTTTCTGCAAATCAATTCACTGGTGATATTCATGAATTCCTTAATGGTTTTTCAACTTCAAGCTCAGAAAGTAGTGGATTACTGTCGTTGGATTTAAGTTCTAATTCTCTTGTCGGTGAGTTGCCCGAGTCTTTGGGAAAGCTTAGAAATTTGCAGCGCCTCATCCTTTCTGGAAATTTCTTTTCGGGTTCGCTTCCAGCATCTATCGGAAGCCTCTCATTCTTAAAAGTTATAGACCTTTCCTATAACAAGATGAATGGGACAATTTCCACAAGTTTCGGTCAGCTCCATCGACTAGTCGATGCCAACTTGTTAATGAATTCATGGGAATGAGTCCTTACAGAATCCCACTTTATGAGTCTCAAAAGCTTGAAGAGTCTCAGAATAACAACAGAGTCAACCAAGTCCCTTGTTTTCAATGTGTCATATCAGTGGATTCCCCCTTTCAGGCTTAACTATATCCAAATTCAAAACTGTAGGGTTGGTCCTTTCCCTATGTGGCTTCAAGTTCAAAGTGAACTCACCTCTGTCACTCTCAAAAATACTGGAATCTCTGGCACCATACCGGACCAATGGTTTTCCAAGTTGTCCGGTCAGATTACCCGATTAGACCTTTCCAAAAATCAAATAGAAGGGAAGCTGCAGCCACACCAATTGGCATTTCCAATCCTGCAAGCGATTGATTTGAGCTCCAATCGCTTCGAGGGTCCTCTCCCGCTTTGGTCCACTAATGTGGCCGAGCTATTTCTTGAGGATAATTCATTTTCCGGTCCTATTCCCCAAAACCTTACTCAATTAATGCCTGGATTGCAAAGACTCCATCTTTCACGGAACCATCTCAGTCGAGGAATTCCTTCATCATTATGTCAGCTAGAGAACCTGCAAGTTCTCTCCCTAAGAAGCAATCACCTCTCTGGAGAATTTCCCAATTGTTGGAACAATTCCTTTACCTTATGGGGTTTTGATGTAGCAAACAACGACTTATCCGGTGCCATTCCAATCTCCCTCGGTTTCCTCCCTTCCCTCACCGTGTTAATGTTAGGCAACAACAAATTCCACGGCGAGATTCCTTCATCCTTGCAAAACCGCTCCGGTCTGACCACAATTGATCTCAGCAGGTTTTTTCAGGAACTACTTCACAGGAAACCTACCATCATGGCTAGGCGGGAGAGAACTAGCTTCGCTTTTCATGCTACACCTCGCGTCAAACAACTTTGCAGGCCAGATTCCACCAGAGTTATGCAGCCTAGGAAATCTCCCCCCGCTAGATCTCTCCGAAAACAGCTTCTTGGGTGTCATTCCCAAGTGTTTCGATAACTTGGCAGCCTTGGTGTATGGTAATAGCAGTGAGGTGTTTGAAAATCAATTGTATATTGTGCTGAGAGGAAGAGAGCCTGAATACAGCAGCATTGTGGGAGATGTCAATGGCATCAACCTTTCGGGAAATGACTTGAAAGGAGAAATCCCAGATGAGATCACAAGTATTCATGGCCTCCACATGTTGAATTTATCAAGGAATCAGTTTAGTGGAAGAATTCCAGACAAGATTGGCAACTTGGAGAAATTGGAAGCACTTGATCTCTCGCATAATCGTCTTTCGGGGTCGATTCCTCAGAGCTTGTCTAGTATGATTGCTTTGAAACACTTGAACTTGTCGTACAATAAGCTTCAAGGGCAAATTCCTCGGCTTCCACAGTTCAACGATGCTTCAGTTTTTTAGGGAAATCCATCACTCTGTGGTGACCCTCTTCCAACTAAATGCAAGACTAGTGCTTGATCATCAATCAAGCTTGTGATTAATTAAGCCAAATAAATGTTTAGCAAATTAACATAAATGAATAAATGGCCAATTATATGCTATTAGTTTGTCGACATGAAACGCTATGTTGTGAAAAATCGTAACGCAAGTATACGCTATCGCAATCAAGTAATATAATAGTGAATAAGAATATCATCCCACGAGGATTGTTGTTTACTAATTACCGAAATTATATTAACCCTAATTTTATTTGAATACTTGAAAAGAGAGTTTATAAAATTAAGTAAACTAAAACTAAAACAATTAAATAAATTAAACAATGTTAAGCAACGGATGAAAATTCAATAGATTAAGATTCTAGGGTTTCCGATTTCACCAAATTAATCATGTTCAAACTCTCATAATTCAAGAAAATTAACATTCAATCCTATACTGACAGCAATTTCTCTAAAGCAATTATTATTCTTTCTCAAGTAACAATAATATTAATCCAACAAGCAAAATCTATATCTCTGTCAGACTTCTAAACCTGTTGAAAATCATTAAGTGTAAGAAATTCAAAAGAACTGCACAAGCATCATAGATATCTCTATCCTATGAACAACTCATGGTATTTCAATTAAGAGCTTATTCAATTATCACCTCTCAGTCTCAAATCAAATACAAAATCATGTAATAGTTGGCCAAACAATCACAAGCATTAAGAATAAATTGAAATACTCAGCATATATGGATTAAACATCAATTACTTAAAAAGAAGATTGAGAATTTGAACATTCATAATCCGGCTACATCGTAGCCCTAGAAAAAGGAATTAGTTCATCTCTAAACAAAATAAATTCCTAAACAAAGTCTTAATCATTGGAAAGGAAAGAAAAGAACTAGTTTGGAGTTGAATTGAAGCGTAGCCGTCTCCGGATTTGAGCCGTTCTTCTTCTCCATCCCAATTATCCTTTTCTTCTCTTGAATACTCTCTCAAAAGCCAGCCGTCATTCCACAGTCTAAAAGTCTTCTTTCTAATTGCCCTAGAATCATCTATTTATATGTTTCGGAGCATTAGGGTCAAAACGGGTAAGTTTTCGCGCAATTGGCCTTCAAAACGCGTAATTTCTCGCGTCGTAGCGCTGCGGCGCTGAGTTTCCAGCGCTGCGGCGCTACTGTGTCAAATGCCTGGGCGCTGCGGCGCTGTAATGGGCGCCTAAGCGCTGCCCATTCTGCCCAGTGCACAAATTCTGCCGGATTTTGGCGCCGCGGCGCTACAAACTGGCGCCAAAGCGCCACCAGTTCTGCCCAAATTGTTGATTCTGTATAACTCAGCGCCAAGGCGCTACAGATTGGCGCCTAAGCGCTATGATTGCTGTCTTTTTCCACCGAAATTTGTCCAAAACCTTCCAAATCATAGACTTCCACCCATCCTTCAAACAAAGAACGAAAACACACATAAAAACTAACAAAAACCTCAAAACCAACTAGATATTAAGTATAAAATGATACCAAATGAGCGAGTAAAACTCACTCATCACGCTACAGCTTCTTAACCTTGTTTGCATGACAAGAATGAGAAATGAGAAAAAAGAAAGTAATCATCCAGGTTAAAGAAAATAAATAAATAAATAATTCATTTATTTATTTATTTTGGGGGAATATGTTATGCTCCTCATTTTATCCTTCCGTGCTAATAAAATGAGACAGAAAATAACAAGAATATACAAATTTGCAAGTAATAACGCTCTAGGTTATATGTATGTCTAATAGAATTGAAAGTAATCTAAAACCAGATTATCTGGTGGATTGTTAAGGCTCTTTCAATAAGGTATTGGTTCGAATTAGTCCAGACGCACTCGTTGGTTTGAATCACAACTCAAGTTTTTGTTACAGTATTTTCTCTTACAAAAATTCAAATTCAACTTTTTATGTTAAAGTGTTTTGCCTCCAATAAATTCACTATTTAACCCATATTCTTAACTCGAATCAGTGAACAAACGGGTAAAAAAGTCTATACATATTTATTTTACCATTACACCTTAGTACAAAGTGAGTGACTGAGGTATGAAAGAGGAAAAATAGTTTTTGTAAGTGAAAATTAATCAGAAAATGTCAACTTATAGTTGACTTCATGTAAGCGAGCCGCATATATGTTCTCTTACACGCTGCCGTCTGCCCTAGAAAAAGAAAAAAAATAAATATTTCATATTAATTATATTTTCTTGTTCTACTTATTTTCTTACTAACAGCACAATAATAGTAGAAATTGTGACAACTATTATAAATAATTATTATAAAATTAATACTATAGTATAAAGATAAAGGAGAGTAATGCAAAAAAAAAAAAAAAAAAAAAAAAAAGTTTTAATATAAACACGCAACATAAGCTAAATTCCATACGCATGGATCAATATGTATATTCAAATATAAACATAGCATTTACAAGAGATGTTAGTGCTAAATAATCAAGGGGAAGGCCATGGACGCAACGAGGAAGATGATTAATATAATTATTATCTCAGTTCTAATTATGCAAGTATGTCAATATGCCCATACGTCTCTAAATAATTATAATCCTCCTCTAATTTCCACTTTGATTGTTCACGACTCCAAATTTATAAGTGGAAATGCTATATAAGATGCTTGAAAATATGGCGTTTTGTTTTCACGCTTTGATCTGGAATCGCCGCTTTAAAAATTTTCGATTTGTGTTTGGAGGAATGCAAGAAACGAAAGGTACCCAATAGCTAGATCGTGTTTTTCAAGCAAATCTGTAGCACAAACCAAGGACGTATATTTATATTATAGGCTTTTCACAGATATATTACATGTTAATGCCCGTGGGTGTATTTCATATATATTTGGAATTGTTTTCTAAGTCCGGCATCCGGATTAGTACGGCAAATGTATTCTTTTTTTCATATCTTCATGTAATATTGTTTGTTAGTTTATGTAATACTCACTTTGTTTAAGTGTAGCAGTTAAAACAATGTAATTTAATACATATAAAATTAAATACTACATTTAACTAAATTAAATATTTGACACACGTAGAAACAGTGTTACATGAAAATACAAAAAAAACAAATTATATCCGACTTAAGGCTTTTGACTAATTGTAAATGTCTCCGTATGCATGTGACTTGTGCAAATGTAAATTGATTTGTATTGTTGTCCTTCAATTCCTAAATCCCGGACTAGAATAGCCCATCGTGATTTTATGTAGAAAGGCTCAAATGGCAGTTACTTTTTCCAGTTACTTTGATTTGATTGTAGAATTTAAAAGCGCCTTAACAAAAAGGAAAGAAGAAAACGAGAATTTAGTTAAAATAACCAAGTGAAAAAGTAAAATTAAGAAAATGACTTTTTTAATTTTAATTTTATATATTCTCCTCCTGCCGGTCTCCTTCCGCCGGAATCAATGGCAGCTCCTCCCGCCGGTCTCCTTCCGCCGGAATCAATGGCAGCACTCCATTTCTCTCTCTTCTTTTCTTTCTCTCTCCCCAAAAGGCCAAGACCCACCTCTCGAGAAGGTCGAGAACGTGGCCGCCGAGAATGGCCCTGGCGACGACGCCGGCGAGATTCAGGGCTCTGAACGTGCCGTTGATCGCGCCGTTCACGATCGCGACGTCGAGGCTTGAGAAGGTCGAGAACGTGGTGGTTCGGATCGAGCTGAGCAGTGGATCCGTGGGTGGGGTGAAGTTCTGATTTTTTTTTTCGTTTTTCTTTTTTCTCATAAAATCATTTTGCAAATAAAAATTTTTAAAAAGTTATTTTACTAATAAAACTTTCCTAATGAGTTATTTTTACAAAGGTGTCGAAGAAAACTTCTTAAGGGTCAGGACACATGACAAACATGCAATGTGCCAAATAGATTTTCGCTCTTAGATTATTTATTTATTATTATTATTATTATTTCTTCATTTTCGCGTACGCTGGCTTTTCTAGACCCTCAACAATATACAAGGCCAATAGAATCACTTTTTCTTGCTTGGGTTTGTATAACTGGTTGGTTGCACAAGTGCTATTTGGCTTTTCCTCCTCCCCTCTCCTTGAGAGAAAATCACATAATTTACTCTTAAAAGTCAATATGGCAATAAATTTTTTCCCCTCATTCTTAATTAATACATTTTTACTAGTATAGTTATTTAATTAAAAATATTATTAATCAAGAATAATTAGTAGAAATCTCAACTCATGCACTTTTAAAGGGTATTTATCTCATTTTCTCTTTCCATTAAGATATACACGAAATCTATATTGGACTTCAATTGTGTTTGGACTATTTTACCAGATTGTTAAAAGATTATAAGAGTCACGATTGCTTTTCACTATTCTATTATTTAGGGTTATTTATAAGAACGTTTACTTAGAGCACTCTAAATTTAAAAAATGTTTACATATTTATTTACAAAATTATCCACCACCACACACAAAAAAAAAAAAAAAAAAAAAAAAAAGATGTCCTTATATGATAAAAAGGGAAATGATGCCGTCAATAAGAAAATACACGAAAATGTACCTGAATATTTTCATTATTTTAATAGATATATCATTATGAAACATATTGATTCCAAGAAACTAAAACAATAAAAATGTATGGAACATAAACTCATTAGAAATCTGATTTTATTAATTTAATGATAATATCATTTTAAAACAGATTCATAGAATCATAACACAGAAAAAAACACGAAAGAAACATTTTCATTATTTTAATAGATATGTAAACTGTGTGGAACAATCAGCAATGAGTGGTGAGCAAATTAAACACCTGTGATTTGGATTTATGCAGATAAATCTAGTAAAATTATGCGATGTCCATTCAAAAGAATAATGTGGGCTCAACTTTGACAGATTCTTACAACACGTGGGGCTTTATAAAGTCACATGTCGAGAAAGATAATTGACAAAGTCAATATCAGTCCCCACCCTTGGATGTAAAGCGTAACGACGTCTAAATTGATAACTCTCTGTCATACTCTATACTTAAGTCATGTTCTTGTTCTATGTATACAGGAAAATTTATGAACTATTTCCAGTACTGTCAAAAAAGAAAATAGATATACATAGGACTTCTTAGCTTATAAAAGGAAATGATGAAGAAGTTGAAAAAAGTTTACTGTTAACAATATTCCTCAAAATGCCATCTTTAAACCTCATGCACTTTCTCATCATGATATCCATACTCGTCATCACCAGCAAATCAATAACCCCAATTCACCGCTCCCATTTCTGCTCAAACACAACTACTTTCTCCCCCAACACCACTTACAACTCCCACCTCAACAAGCTCCTCGCTTCCCTCTCCGCCGCCGCCGCCCTCAGCGAATTCTTTGCCCAAAAGACCGTCGGTGTAAGCCCACCCGGCTCCAGTGTTTACGGTAGCTACCTCTGCCGCGGCGACCTTGACACAACCGCCTGCCACACCTGCATCGCCACCGCCACCGACGATGCCCCCCAGCGATGCCCTTTCAAAAAGGAGGCGGTATTATGGTACGACGGCTGCATGTTGCGCTACTCAAATAGGCCCTTTTTCGGCATCATGGAAGAGAAGCCGAGCAGCTTTGTGGTGGATCCGTGGAACGGGACAAGACAAGAGGGATTTAAAAAGGCTCTAGAGGAGGCTATAATGAGTGAGTCCGCTTTGGCTGAGGCTGCAAATAATACTAGTAGTAATGGGAATTACAATAATATTAAGCAAATCAAGTACTACTTCAGGACAAAAGAGGTCAAAGTGACGTCGTTTCAGACGATTTGCAGCCTTGTGCAGTGCACGCCGGACTTGGAAAGTGGTGAGTGTAGAAAGTGTTTGAAGGATGCGATGAGAATGATTGGGTCTTGTTGTGAGGGCAAAGAAGGGGCCACCATTCTCTTCCCTAGTTGTAATGTTAGGTTCGAGTTGTTCCCTTTTTACAACCGAAACACTACTACTGCAAACGATCAAATTAAGCCTAAAGGTAAGTAATTAGTGGAATTAATGTATATGCACCTGTTTAATTAATTTTTGGTTTTAATTTTTTTCTTAATTGAATAAAGTGATTCTTATGCGGAAAAAAAAAACAATTATTGGTTGATGCATGGATTGTTAGCTTGCTTTAATAACATATATAATGACTCTAAATTTGTGAATGCAATTGCTACTTCTTCGTTGGCATAAGCAATCTATTAATAGACTTTTGTATCATACATCATATTATCATTTATAGATTAATGACCATTGCCTTCAAAGTATCATGATGTTAAAAAACCAGAATAAATAAATTTTCTTGGTATGATTATTTTATATATGGACAAGTGTTGTCGATTTTATGTGCATATTATAACAAATGATTGAGAGCATATGTGTGTGTACACATATATATTGAGCGCACCTTAAGAAATTTAAGTACTGGTCTAGCTAATACGTCATAAGTACTAACAAGTAAGAACATTAACTAAATAATTTTCTTTCGCAGGAAAAGATCACAGGATTTCAATTCTAATAGTTATTGCCACTGTGATATCAATCATTTTCGTGTCATTGGCATATTTTTTCTTGGGCTACTGCCTTTCTCGTCTCAGGAGAGCCAAGAGGAAGAAGGATCCCATTCCGCAACAAAATGGTAAATCCCGCACCAAACTCTTGATTACCAATATTCCTAGTTTGAGATTACGTAAAAGTGAAAAGTAATATTATTAATAATAATGTCATGTCTTTTAAATTAATTTCATGAATAGCAGGAAATGAAATTACAAGTACAGATTCCTTGCAATTTGACTTGATTACCCTAGAAATTGCTACAAACGAGTTTTCCAATGACAATAAGCTTGGACATGGTGGATTTGGTGACGTTTACAAGGTAATTAGACTTTTTTTAATGTTTTCTTAACTTATGGGTGTTTTTTCTTCTTTTTTTTTTCCTTTTTGAAAGTTCAAATATATGGAAAATAGTGGTACTATTATTGATATTACATATATTTAATCAGGGAATACTTGGTAATGGGCAACAAATTGCTGTGAAGAGGCCATCAAGGAGTTCTGGGAGAGAATCACTCGAACAATTTAAAAATGAGGTTGCATTAGTCGCTAAACTTCAACACAGAAACCTTGTCAGGCTTTTGGGGTTTTGCATGGAAGCAGGTGAGACAATGCTTGTCTACGAATTTGTACCCAACAAAAGCCTTGATTATTTTCTATTTGGTCTGTCCAATATTAATTATATATTATCCATGTTTTGTTGTTTCTCAATTCTCTAATTATATCATGGGAACAAGCATTAATTAAATCACACTTAGACAAATTATATTCTGACTATATTGACAGCAATCTAAAAAGACTTTTTCTGCTAAGCTACCAGATATATAGGATGAAAAGAAAAGATACATAGATCACATGAATTCGTTATCACCAAGAGCCAATACATTAATATGTGTGTCTATATATATATATATATATATACACACACACACACACACACATTTAACTTATCCCATCCATGTTTTATCTCTCTCAATGCAGATCCTGAAAAGAGAATACAGTTGGATTGGCCAACAAGATGCAAGATAATAGAAGGGATTGCGCGAGGAATTTTATACCTACATGAAGATTCTCGACTTAGAATCATACATCGTGATCTTAAAGCCAGCAATATATTGTTAGATGGGGAAATGAATCCAAAAATATCTGACTTTGGCATAGCCAAGATGTTTGGCATTGATGATCAAACAGAAGGAAACACCAAAACAATTGTTGGGACATAGTAAGCATTCTCCCATCTCTTGAAGCTCTTTCAAGTTACCGCTTTTACCTGGATTATTATTATATCAATTATTCACATTCACAAAAAAACAGAGAGAGAGAAAGAGAGACAGAGAGAGCAGAAGAAGAAGCTAGAGGAGTCATTTATTTATTTACGTTCGCAAGAATAAATAAATGGCATGTCTAAGTGGAATTGTCTTAGAACTTGTTTTGTATTCTTTTTCTTTAGACTTAACTTTGAATTCTTTTTATTCTGATAAATTTGAACGTGGGATGGTCTTGGTCTAGTGAATGTAAAACCAATTAATTATGTGATAGTTTTCTTACACGAGTTATAATCCTCTCTATATTTACGTTTAAACTAAGTGTATATAGTGTTCATGTAGTTTCAATAAATAAATCGCCAAAGGAAGTGAGTGAATATTCTATGAAAAAAAAATTGCAGGCCGTAAATATACGTACAGTAGATGCGTGCATGCATACATACAAACAATCAATAAAAAGATATATTCAGAGTAAACATTTTTCTTTTCGTTCTGGTTTGAGGTTGTTATCCCTCGCTTATAGTTTTTTTTTTTTCTTTTTCTTTTTAATGAAAGCGGTTAGTGAATTGCCAGTTTTATTCTAAGAAATCTTTTTATATATGCATTAATACTGAAGCTAAAGATTGAAACAACTAATAATTCATGATTTTGGTCTCTACGCGTGTGCCTATCTTTTCCGAAATTTGGAAAGTGGTTATATGGCACCAGAATACGCGATGGGGGGATTGTATTCTACAAAATCTGATGTATTTAGCTTCGGAGTAATCTTGCTTGAGATACTAACTGGAACAAAGAATTCCGGCTTTCATCCCACAAAACTGGCATCTTCCCTGCTTCCACATGTAAGATCATCAATTCATTATTAATTTTCTTAAATTAACATGACTAAATTAGTACTACTGTTTTCTAGTATTTACCTTGTTATTAGGCAGGCATTTATATTAATAATTTGGTGACTATTCACCAGGCTTGGCAATTGTGGAATGAAGGAAAAGCTTTGGAGTTGATGGATCCGGTCTTGAAAACTTCATGTCCAGCCAACGAATTTCTGAGAAATATGCAGATTGGTTTATTATGTGTTCAAGAAGAACCACTCATCAGGCCGACAATGTCGTCTGTAGCTATGATGTTGAAAAGTGATCATCAAAGTTCTATGGGCCGTCTTTCAAATCCTAGGCCGGCTCCGTTCTCCGGTGGAAGATTCAATAATGACATGAATGAGCATGATGAACTAGGTATTGATGACTACTGCTCTACTAGCAGTTTGACAGTTTCAGTTTTGGACCCTAGGTGAGGTACTTATTATATATAAGAGGGACAAAGATATGCATTCTACATACTAGGCGGAAAAACTATATCAGTTTCTTAATTTTTCTTTTATATATGCATCTCTTGTAATTTTGCAATAATATGATTTACAGTGTTATAGCTATGAACCTAATTGTAACAACAACCATACTTTTTCAACTTCTAACTAGGTGTTTGTTTTTTAATAATTAACCTAAAAACTCCTCATTAAAAGATTTGAAGATATAAAGCTTTAGCAATAATACTCTCTCTGTATTAATTAGGTTTTTTTATCGTATTTTATCTCAAACCCAAATTGAATTTATGCTGCTCATTTTTTACACTTGTTTGGTGTGAGACAAAACAAAAGGCGTCGTTTTTTTAATTTATAATTATTAATTATTTCTGCTATCCTAAGATCAGGTTTATCTCGTCTAGCATCATAAAGTATTCAACTTGATCTATGTAAGAATTATTTAACACAAGGGCATTCAAATAAAGCACATTTTAAGTACCTCTGTAAAAGCAAAAAGGAAAAAGAGAATGTAGCTTTTCTACCTTGTGTAGGAACATTTTGTTTTCACTTTTCCTTCTTGATAGTTGCTATGGTTGGAGAAAATTTAAAAATTTCCCCTTTTTTCTCTCTAAATACATTCAAATAAGTAAGCGTAACATGAAAATAACATTAACACAAATAAACAAATAAAATATAGATATTTATGTATATATATATGTTTCTGACTTACTTAATTTCATATTATACAAACAAGTCTTCCGTCAATAAAAGCCACTTTATACCTTAATAAAAATACAAAAACGTCCCTACTTAGATCTTAGTAATCATGATCGTTTGCTTAAGAATTTCTTAAAGTCTTTTTTTTTTCTTTTTTGACGTCGAAAGAATTTCTTAAGTTGAATCGGAAAGGGATACAAAGATAATTCAAACTTCCAATCCGTAGAAAGTCACATTCAACATATCTATTGGTCGCCATTTTCAACCAAACAAGAGAGAGAGAGAGCGAGAAAATTCTGGTCACCATTCACCTAATTAAGTAAAAAAAGCAGTGCCGGCTAACATATAAAAAAATATCAGTCATTAAAACCTTTTTCTTGGATGAAAGGCCATTTGCTATAAATAACTGCGAAGTGAAAATTATATTAATGTGTACACCCCTTATGATTGTATAATTGGCGAATGGATAAATATACTTTACAAAATTTAATTTACTGCCTGTTCTTCTTTTTTTTTTTTTTTTTGCTAAAGCATTTACTGTTAATTCTACATACCATACGTTTAGCTAATTAATTAACTGCATGCACTTGGGAATAACGGTGCCAAACTTTTTGGTTAAAAAAAATGGAGAAAACGGCGCAATCCTTTAAGTATAAATGTATAATTTATTTTCTTTCTCACTTAAAAAAACTAATTGATTGAATTTAGGCCTATGCTTGACCGTTCCCGAAGCATGAAGGAATTTTAATTAAGAAAATAGTGAAAATGCCCTTTACGAGTCTTCTTTGGTTGCTCATAAAATGCAAAGTGCGTTTTATATTCATGTTATTTTAGACAGTGGGGAAAAAAAAAACAAAAAAACAAAGAGCGGGGCCTTTCATTTTCTATGAAGACTTTTTCTTTAACGTAAGGCTTTTTTTTTTTTCAATAATTTCTTTTAGGGGGTTGGTTATTTATTAAAAGAAAAAAAAAATTGACAAATTGAATATATTCGGCAAATGAATAAGGCAGTAAGTTGATATTCTAAATTTCTAATGCTTCTGAGTATGGAATTTCTCGTGCCTCTAGTGCTGAATTGCAGGCTTTTCTAACACAGATGCCAATTACAGCTTTGTGATTATAATAAATAGGGTAATTTCACTTTACCCCTCAACCAGTCTGCCTGTGGTCCTTGTTAAGAAAAAAATTTGGCACATTGCTCCCTATACTTTCTGTTAATCTTTTGCAATACCATCATTTTCTAATTCTTGTTATTTGTTTCATAAAATTCGCCACTTGACACATTGAATATTTTAACCATATAAAGCACACATATGGCGCGTTTCTGGCTATTTATATTAGTAAAATAAGAAATATTGAAATATTTTGATAAAATTTTGAATGTCTCTTTTGTGGGCTAGTTATAATAATAATAAAAAATCTGCGTGAGCTTTTTCAATGTAACAAGGGGAAAGGACACAAATACCTTTTAAAAGTGTAGGATTAGGATTTCTACTCCTTATTTTTAATTAATAACGTTTTTAGTCAAATAATTATACTAATAAAAGGGTATTAATTAAGAATGATGAGTAAAAATCTAGACTCATTCCCCTTGAAAGAAGAACATGATACAATATAATGGCATAATTATTACAACTCCTCTCATCATCTTCTTAATTTACTTTCATGCAACTACTCTTGGCTCGCCTTGTAATTCTAGCTTTGATCTACGTATATATAGTAACATTATTATATATATATTGGTTACTTTGACACTGACTACCGCTTATAAACTTTTTTTTTTTTTTTTTTGCATATTAGCCATGTCCTTTTCATTAATTTCTTTGCAATTTGAACTATTTTTCAAGGTCTATTAATTAACTTTGTGACGCATTTATTGTATACACGAGAAAATTGCATAATTTAATCAATATTCCTTTATATTAATGTCCACTTTCGTTGAAGCCAATAATATTATTGATTATAATCCGTGGTTTCCTTCTTCCTTTGTTTCTTCTCCTGATCTTCCCTCTAATAATTTGTATGAATTAGACTGCAGAAATAAAAGCCCACTTCGATATGATTGGGGATGTTATGATGCCAAATGCATCAAAAATGCGAGTCAGCCACTTGATCAAGGTTCACCACCTTGAATATCTTCCTGATGCTCACGGTACATGTTTATGGAAATGCGAGAAATTTAATCCATAGTTTTTTTTAGTTATTAGTATTATTTAATTTTTAGCTGGATATATTGTACTTTCCTTAAAAAGGAAAAGAAAAAGAAAGACATATTAGCTAAATACTAGCTAAATACTTTGTATTTTTCATTTAATAATATTTGAGCGGACTACTCAATTTAATATGAGAATTTAAACGGGTGTCAGGTGCCAGCTTAATTAAGATGTATTAATTTCGTGAAGTCAGTTTGTCCTCCTCTACTGAGGAAATAAAAAAAAAAAACATTGATCAAATGGTAAACTAATTTCGCTATGCAAGTTCTCCCCTCTTATATCATGATTCTACAGAATATGCACGTCTAATATGTATATTTTTGCACATTGTGGTTTGTAACAATATTATTCCTGTTCTGGTTTCTTGACTTCGATGAATTTATCATGTTTTGTACTCCTTTTCATTTATTTTAATACCATATTTCACCCTACCTAGTATAGTATGGGTTGACCAGGTGCATTTTAGTCAATAAATAAAGGAAAAAAACGAGAAAAGGAACACAAATCACAATAATATTTCTAAATCTAATTTTCTTTATTTTATAATTTTACCTTGTTTAACAAATCCTATGAGGGTGATTTGATCTTTTTCACATCGATTTTGTCTTTATATACACACCATGAACGAAATTTTTTTCAAAATTGGAGGACAACCAATTTTTTCTCCAAAATAATTAATTCTGAATTTTTTTCTTCATTAAACACTCACATGAAAGAAACCGTCTAAAATTCTTACTTCGTTTTCAATCTGACCAACATTACAATAAATTTTAAAATTTAGAAGTAAATTACTAAATAAAAAAAATAATGGAAAATTTTATCAAATTTGTAAAGTTAAGAAATCAATATGCTAAATTTGTAAAGTTCGTGGCGTCGCCACACTATGCTCTCTGTCTGGGTCTGCATGCGCAGACTTCCAGCCCTTTGCTTCCCTTTTTTTTTTTTTTTCCGTTTCTTCACCTCTTTGCTTGATTAGGCTTCACACACATAACATAGAATTGAAAATTTTAGAATTTCGAGCACATAGTAAGGCAATTGTGCACGTTAAGTGTGTGTATTTTTCTTTCTTTCTTTTTTAATTTTGATAAAGTGTATTTTTCTCAACTAGGTACGTGTGCAATACACAATAGCTAGTTTAAATTGGAATTAACTTATTCATCGCCTAGGCACAAATACACTTAATTAGTACATGTTACAAAATGGTTAATTATGTTTAAATATGCTTACTCTTTACCCAAAAAGTATTTGATATATCCATGAATATAACATAAGAGACATGCATTTCAATATATATATATATATATATATAATAGTAATAATAAGAGACGAGCTAATTTTAAGAGCTAGAGAGTTCGATTTAAAATTAGTTTTTTTGCTTTGTGTTTTACTACTCGAATAATATTGCTACAAAATAGCGCTTGAGAATGTTTTAATAATAAAAAATATGGTCATGATTATAAATTATATTGAACTTTTTTTTTTACCTTCTAGATATTATAATATAATACGTTTATGTATTGGTTCGAATCCATTGTATATAGTTATCTTAACATTTTTTTTCTGAAAATAACTCACCATAGCTAGCCATGAGTTGACAATTACAATATATAATTAGTATTAGCGCCACCATGAGCCTTATGATTATCCGAAGGTTTGCTTAATTTATGAATTAACTTTCAGCTATTTCACTAGTAACACTAAAAACTATTGAAGTATGATTACTTTAAACTCGGAAATATATAACGCGTGATTACGAATATTGGAAAAATATTTCTTTTTGCTGGTTATTTTGTTTTATTCTTGCTTAGGATTTAGGACGTGTGTATATGTGTTTGTATGTGTGTATATATAGGGCCTGATATACAGGTGTTATGTACTAGTATTGAGCAAAAACTAGAGAAAATCTTTTCATCAACATATGATCCAATCAAAATGATTTTCTAGTAGATCTCCTTCTTCTCCTTCTTCCTCAGCTCTTTCAGGTTCAGTAGCACTTGAAGAAGATATATTGAAGAACAATTGGCCATGTTATTTTGCATGCCTCCCTTGGAATGCGTTGCATAAAATTAGTGAAATCTGAACCAGAGTTATATCCTGATTGCAGAGTACGGTGTGCGTGGAAATGCATGGCAATACAATCTGGTTTTCCTTATTAATTTAAAGTCGATCAAAAGAAAGCCAATTATTCCGCATAAGTTAATAACTCATCATAATTCAATTAAGTGGTCATCATGTATAATACTACTAGACATGAGCTTGTGGTTGTTACCTATCATGTAATAATTAATGTGGACAAGCCTATGGACGTGATGTATATGGTTGTTGCCATTTATTTTAAACCAACTTTTTTGAAATGTTTCATTACTTGAGTAATTTTTCACACATTCTTTTAAAATATTTCTTTCTTCAAATATGGCTCAAATAAGTACTTTTTTAGCTAATTGTCGGACTGAAAAATTTTCTAAAATGTGTCCACTGAGATAAATCTATACAGTTAGTACTATATGTCTATAATCTATAATCTAAAATCTACAATATATATAAGGGAACAGATGCATTTATTTTTTTCAAACTTTCATCACCCATTAATTCTATCTAATATAAATTTGTTTATTTTTCTCAAATACCATTAAACGTAATATAACTTTGTTAATTTTTGGTGCAACTACAAAGTAGAAATTTGGTTTTGGGTGCAACTATGAAGTAACACTAAATTTGTTTATATATTTGTTAATCCATATCGTGTCGAATTCAACAAAATTTCACTTCAAACTAGTTTTATACAAAATATCAATTAGCCATAAGAAAAATGAACATCTAGTTAACATCGAAATCCAAACATAAAGCAAAATCAATCGCGTCTATCGGAACAATTCAAGAAAGTGAAAAACAAAATTTGTTGCAATATGCCCATTATACCTTTCTAATTCTTTGTTGCAATATGCCAATATATACCTTTCTAATTAGTTTACACCAATATTTTAAAATAATTAGATATTATATTTTAATATGGAAAATATTTATGTGTCGGAGATGCAAAATATGCTAAGGGCTAATCAGGAGATTCTCCGCACCGCTGGCCACTCAGTACAATATGGGATATTCTATGGCGGGAGGCAGTTGCGTTTAGTACGAGAGTTTAAATTAATGTGATTTTAAATCTCATTCATTTTACGGATTTAAATTTTTAATTTAAGCTGAAATGTAATAATTTTTTAAAATTTTTAACTATAATAAAAAAAAGTTAAATGTGACATTTTTTAAGAGCTTTTAATTGTAAAAATTTAAAATTAAAAACTCAAATCAATAAAATGAACGAGACATTAGTTTTATAACTAAAACCATTATTCATGTTGTAAACTTGAAGTCTAAACCATAGTTATAAGACTGAAACTAAAATCAAGGATTTAAACCATCTAAAACTAAAGGGGGATGGTTTTATTTTTTAAGGTAATTTTAATTTAAAACATCACATTATAATTTAAATTTTAAACCATAATCATCTAAACTAAACACTGATTTTTAAGAACCGTTTTACCTTTTTCAAACAAATAAAAATTTGAACCAAAATCATAGTTCTGATTTTAGAATCCTCATACCAAACTCACTGAAAAATAACCGGTTCAAAAAAACAAAAACAAACTACAAAAACAAAACAACGAAACATGAATTTTTATGCATGAGCGCATGACGTTCAAGACTCTTCTTCAGTCACATGGCATTAGTACTTCTACCCCTTAGTTTAATGAAATCTTTTATTTACACGATTTAGAAATCTTCTTGACCGAGCTCAATCTTCTTCACTATATAAGCATAAAGAAAAAGGCACTATTAAATCAATGCGTGGGTCCCGCTTCAAGTAAAAATGTCGTGAGACTAATCCCATTCTAAGATTTCTCCTTTCCTTCTTAACACCAGAGCTTAGCAAAATCAACAATGTATCGTAAACAGATAGAATATGTTCTGCCGTTAAAAAAACACGTTCATATCACATACATCTACATCGGAATTCTATCTTAAATCTCTATTAGGACAAAATCAGAATAAATGACGGAAATTAAAAAACAAAACAAATTCTATTAAACCTAGGAAGTTAAATATGACGCCTCTTGAGCTTGCCCTTGCCTTTGCCCTTTCCATGGCGCTTTCCTTTACCCACCTTGAACTGTCTTTTGGAACTCTTCCCTACCCCTCCAGTTGGCTTTAGTGAACCCTTGTTTTGATTATTGTCATCAGCCATTTCAATATCTGTTACAAGGACAGTCACCGTAACAAATCCACATTGGTCAGAAGCCAAAAGCCAAAAGCCAAAAAACCAAAAACAAACCAAAACTGTGTCGTATACTTTTTCCGACTATAAACTCAAATTTTCAAAGCCAGATTTTTTTTTTTTTTTTGTATATACAACACAGGATCAAACCCGCAACCTCCCTCAAAACCCCAACCCACCCTTGTGTCACTAGATCAAGCAATCTTAGGCCAAATTTTCAAAACCAGATTATGAAAGCAAATAATGCTGAATTTATCCCCTTTAAAAAATAAAAAAAATAAAGACTTCAAATTCTATACAAACTGATAAAAGGAACCTTAAACTGAACAGCATGTCCCTTCCTCGAATTAAACACAACCAACAACACTTCGCAGAAAAGGTTAAAAATTTTCTGGCTGCGCCATCCCAAAAGGCTCTTGCATTTTTGTGATAAATTTTAGGAAGTGGAGTTTAAGAATCTCCTTTCAAATATATTCCTCGTTCATGTTCTGATCAAAGTTCTAAGGAATCATAATCTGAAATATTATACCACCCTTCTAGTTTAGTACTAGAAAGTATATTTTTTCCCTAC